GTTGAGGATAATATTGCTGGTTGTAGCTCAAAATGTTTGAATAGAACTATTTTGGAAGTCAGTCCGATTATAGAATTACAGGAAGAATTCGCCGATATGGTTCACTCCGCTTCGTTAGGTGATTTTATGGAAAATGAACTCCAAATAGAACATCTGGACAAGCATAGACAGAATAATATCAGAAGTTTAGTAAGAGCTTATATGCCAAGAAAACCAGACACATAACCCGTTAAGATGAAAATTGTTCTGAGTGACGATAATCCAGTTGCATATAGACGCCGTAGAGTTTCAAATTCCGATCAATGTTTTATCGACAATCAAGTCAAAGAGTGATTACAAGACGGAATTGTAGTACAAAGTTATTCGGAATATTCAGTCCCAGTAGTCTTAGTGCACAAGAAAGATGGCACAAAACGTTTATGATGTGACTATCGAAAACTCAACGAGAAAATTATCCGAGATAGTTTTCCCATGGCGCTTATTGATGACGTTATACAAAGGTTAAAGGGTGCTAAAGTATTTACAACTTTAGATTTACGCAACGGATTTTTTCACGTTCCTATTGAGGAAAATTCTCAGAAATACACTGCTTTTGTGACGAGTAAAGGTCAATATGAATTTAAATTCGTACCATTCGGTATATCGAACTCTCTAGCGGTATTCTGTAGATATATTGCCTCTGTTTTTCGCGATTTGATGAATGACGGCACAATAGTCGTTTACATGGATGACATTGTGATACCATCGGAAGACGAAGATGAAGGCGCAGCAAAGTTGAAAAAAGTTTTAAAAGTAGCACAAGAATACGGATTAAATAATAAGTGGTCAAAATGCCAGTTTCACCGTCGATTGAGAAAACCCGAGCTGTAATAAATTACCCTTTACCGACAAATGTGAAATCCTTACAAAGATTTTTGGGCGACGATTTATCCCAGACTACGCATCAATAGCAAGACCGTTGTCAAACTTGTTGCGAAAAGACACAAAATTTAAAATGGGAGACGAAGAAATTTTAGCGTTTGAACAATTGAGAAATTCGATGATAAACCCCCAAGTTTTAAAAATTCCCGTGGAATTCATGAGCCGAAAGACTACTCCGACGGAACAAAAGTACCACTCATACAAGCTGGAAGTTTTAGCTGTTGCCGTTTTGGGCTTTTCCTACAAAATTTGGTAGGATTTTTTTCATTTGGTAGGATGGTAGTTTAAATAAATTTTTGGTACGTTTGTCAAGCACATACTTTTAAAGAATATGAACAATTTAATTATACATTTATTTACTGTGTTAAAATATTAAAATTTTTGTATATCAAAATTTTATTATATTTTTGAATCGATAAATTTAATTCGGAATAACGCCTTATAACAGGACTTGAGGATTAAAAACAACAGATTTTTCTAGAGCCATTAATTTCCTAAAACAATTTATATTAATTTTATCACAAATTTCATCGTAATTTTTTGAGAACGACATAATGTGGGAGCCAGTGCAAAATTTTGTCTGAAATTCTGAAACAAAGAAATATGTTGTTTATGACGAATTCTATTTACATAAGTAGTCACGAACGATAGACATTTTCTGAAATTTTTTCTGAAAATATTGTTAGATCTAATAACCGTTTATACATAGTTTAACACCCTTTTGCATTTTAGGCGACGAAATACCTTAATAAATAAGTCACAATTTTCTCAAAAAATTACATGATTTTAAAAATTTGGTAGGTTTTAAACGATTTTGGTAGTTTTTTGACAAAAATTTGGTAGGTTTAAAATGTGTGGCAATGCTGAGTCCAATTGACAAGGCCGATAAGCCTTGTCAATTGGAATATTGTACATCACAGAATATACAACACCTTTTAATCGCCACAGGAGTACCGAGAGGAAATGGCCAGGTCGAAAGATTAAATAACATAGTAGTTACCATGTTGACAAAATTGTGTCAAGAAAAGCCAGAAAACTGGTACAAACACGATGGTCAAGTTCAACAAGTTTTAAATAGCACGCCACCTAGAAGCACCAAATTCGCACCATTCAAGCTGTTAACTGGATTAGACATGAAGAGAAATTCGCGAGTTACTTAACAGCTTAAATATTGAAGAACTGGACAACAATCGAGACAATATTAGAGAGGAAGCTAAAGAAAACATCCTCGAGATACAACAAGAAAACCGTAGAGATTTCAATCGTAAAAGAATCACCGAAACTGTATACGACGTCAACCAATTGGTAGCCATTAAGCGAAATTAAAACCCAAGTATCTAGGACCATACATAATCGCAAGGAAATTGAACCACGGTCGTTACGAAGTTCATAAAGTAGGAAGCTTTGAGAATTTTCACTTGATAAGATTGAATGCACATTAAGTCGCATGAGGTTTTATCATAGTTCTAGTAGTTTTAAGATTTTTATATTTAGCACTTAAGATTTTAGTTTTGTAAATAAATTCAATGTCTTACAAACATTCAACGAGTGCATTACAAACCACTCACTACACCATTTTAAGTTTAAATTGAGAAAATACAAATTCATATTGAGAATTACAAATTAAAATTTGGAAAATACAAATTAAAGTAAACCAATACCATAACATATTGTTTCTATTATGATTACTTTTTCTTTTATATTGTTATTTGCATATTACACAGTTTAAAACAGTTTGTTCACCAATTCAAATAAACCAAAATTCCTAATAACTAAAAATTGCATATTGCACAGTTTAACAGTTTGTTCACCTATTAAAATAAACCAAAATTCCTAATAATTAAAAATTGCATATTTCACAGTTTAAAACAGTTTGTTTACACATTTAAAGTCATCAACCTAAAACAAACTTCTTACTAATTTTGTTTTCGATGACTAGCGAAATATCAATGTAATTCTTTATTTTTATATCTTTTGCAATTAAGCATTTATTTTTAGAAAACCATAAGTTATAAATAAACTAATTTTGTATTATTGAGTTAGTCTTAATCGAGTATCAAAAACCTAATAAACATTAATTTAAGAAAACAAAAATAAACTTGTGTTTTTTTTTTTTTGTATTCTCAACGAACCCTATTCATTTCTTTTAAACTTGAAATGGTGTAGTAAATGATTGTTTTACTTACAAATAAAATAATTCTTACATTTTGGTCCTTCGACACGGATCAGTGGCTGATAGATATCACTGTTCAAAAAAGAAAATTAAATATATTAATCAAAAAAAGAGATTAATATTTAAAAGCGTTGATCACGGCTTACAAAGTGATCAAATTAAATTAAAAACTTAAAATCTCGAATTGGCACAGAAACCAATCAAGATCAAAACAATAAATTTGGAATATAATTTATTCTTATTATATTTATTCCAAGCAGATAATAAATTTGGAACATAATTTATTATAAACAAAATAGAACCAAAATTGGATATCTACAACAGATTCCAAAAAAAAACCTAAAACTAATTCCATGTAATATACAAAAATAAAACAAAAACCAATCATTGGAAATCTAAACAGATTCCAATTCTAAAATCAAACCAAAAAACAAAGCAAGAAAATGTTAAGCGAAAAATGTTTAAACCAGCTGGAACGGCAAAATCAACTATTTCTGAAAAAAATTTATGAAATGTTTAAAGATTTCAGAACTAGCTTTTTGAAATGTCAATCTATAGACTCAGCTGATGAGGAGAAAGCTCATCAGAAAGACGAAGAAGAAAGTACCATAGCTACAAATGAAGAACATTTTGAAGAGGGAAATACAGATGTGGTTGAGTTTATAATTTATGATCCTCACTTTTTTAAAAGAACCACAGAGGAAGTAAAGAAGCATTCAGGCAGTTCCAAGGATGATTCTTTAAATCAAACTGGTGTTGCGTTTGAAGCCGAAGAAGGTGCATTAGGCAGAAATGAAGAAAATTTTGAAGAAGAAAACACAGATGTGGTTGAGTTTACTATTTATGATCCTGACTTTTTTAAAACAAAAACAGATGAAGTAAAGAAGCAGTCATGTGATTCAGAAGATGATTCCACAAATGAAGCTAGTACCGCAGATGGCGCTGAAGGTGTCTTTGGGGAAGAAAAGCCCTTCATCAAATGTAATGAGACTTTAGCAGTCGACCTAACATGGGTAACTGGTGCTGTGCTGGATAAAGAAAAGGCCAAGGAAGAAGAACATGAAACTATTGTTTTGGACAAACAATAGCAGTACATCACACCTCTTCTATATTTTTGCGTAATTTAACAACCTCCATAACCAATACCAAAATAGAGGTTGTGTGTCAGAAATTCGATGGTTATTCGTGTGTAGCTATCGATAAAGAAGCAGATGGCGGTGATGACAATCAAGATGCAGAAGAAAAATCAAATTTGGATAAAGATAGAGATGGTCCTTTAAAATTAGAAGGTGAACATGAAAACAATGATACTGGTATTGTCCTGGAAGCTGTTGAGAAGAAAATAAGCGAGGAGGAGACTGCAGCTATCGATGATGAAGGAATAGATGGTGCCGCAGAAGACTCCGATGATAGAGAAGAAAGACAACAAGAAGAAAAACTAAAAATAAAAAAACCTGGAGAAGAGAAGACGGCCAAATTGTGGTCATGTGTGCCAGGGTATTTTTGTCACAAGTTCCGGAAAAGGAAGCAAACCAAGGATTCTTTTGTGGATAAAATAATAAGTTATAATTAAGCATTTTACAATTCATATTTTACTTTTTCCCCCGGCAGAATGTTCAGATCACTTGAACATGTTTTTTATATTTTTTATTTTATAAAATATTTTATATTATTTAAATTTATGATTCTTTATATTTAGTGCGACAGCTCATGTCTGCAATACTAAGATAAGGAAAATCAACCCTTGTCTTGTCACACATGCCTTTATGATATTTATTTTTATCACTTGCGTGCTATACCCACGCAGTGATAAGAATTTTCACTTGATAAGATTAAATGCACATTAAATCGCATGAGGTCTTATCATAGTTCTAGTAGTTTTAAGATTTTTATATTTAGCACTTAAGATTTTAGTTTTGTAAATAAATTCAATGTCTTACAAACATTCAACGAGTGCATTACAAAGCACTCAACAATAAAAGTGTGTAAAAAAATACGCTTCAATACAAGAGTAGAGTTAAAGTAGAAGCCGAAGATTAGATGTAAAGTAGTGAACAGTCGCTGTTTAAAATTAAAACTAAACTTAATTATAATTTTATATAAATGAACTGGATTAATAATAAATGAATTCAAAATAAAAACTGTCGGTGTTTGTGTTTCATTAAAAACAAAGGCAAAGCCAAAAAGACACCACATAAATATAATATAAACATAAATCATATTATCGACGTAGATCTGTATCGGCCCACAATTGGTCATAGCTTATATATAAGGTCCACTTAAAAAATGACTTTAAATTGATAAATAAAGCTATCGAGATAAAATTCGGTATAAATATGTTTTGTGTATGTATCAATATCTCTACGAAATTTTTCCCGAAACGAGCTTGCTGGTGGAGGGTATTTAAGATTCGGCATAGCCGAATATAGCACTATAAATTGTTTTAAATTTGAGTTTTATAAAATCAGTAAAATTTTTGTTACAATACAAAATATTTTTTTAACAAATCTATATAAATAAAAATCAATTGTCGTTCGTTGGTAATTGCATCAGTTGAGAACGGCTAGACCGATTTGGACAATTTTTTTACTGAAATGTTCGTCATAGTCCAACTTAGGTTTTTACGGAAAAAAAAATTGACAACGCCCACTTTTACGCACACTTTATTCGATTTATCTAAAATCGGAAAACGGCTGCACCGATTTGGCTAAATTTTTTATTTAAATGGTCGTAGTAATCTAATTTAAGTTTTTACTGAAAGAAAAATTTACCACGCCCACTTTTTTCGATTTATCTAAAATCGGAAAACGGCTGCACCGATTTGGCTAAATTTTTTAAAACATGTTCGTAGTAATCAAATTTAAAGTTTTACTGAAAGAATAATTGACCACGCCCACTTTTACGCTCACTTTTTTCGATTTATCTAAAATCACAAATCGAACATAAACATTTTTTTCTAATTTGGACAGGACAACGTCTGTCGGGCCAGCTAGTTTTTTATAGATTCAATAAGAAATTTTATGTTATTATAAACGAAGAGAATGAGAGAAATCGATAACAAGCAAAAATCAACAGCTCTATATAAAATAATTAAAAAAAATAATAAGAAACAGTGTAAAAATAGAAAAAAGACTATTAAAACACTTAAAAACATTAATATATTGGTGAACATAAAGTTTTTCTAAAATACAAATTTATTGAGAAATAATCTTAAAAATAACCCAAAATGACTGACTGCAGTGCGTGCAAGTCAGTAATTAGGGGAGAGACGGGAATAAGATGCAATGGTGTTTGAGATAAAATATATAATTGTACAAAAAAATGCTCTGGTGTAGACCAATATTCGATCGGAGTTCTAGAATCAAGTAATTTTGTTAGATTTATTTGCGAGGATTGTTTGCAATATATAAGAAATGTGGATCTCGTGCTGTGATAAATACAAGATGGGGTACGAATAAATAAACAAAACCTAAAGGAATATAAAAGGGAATTTGAATCATCATTAAAGCGCAACGAAAATGAAATAAAGCAATTATTAGTGGCAATTGAGAAAAGATATGAAGAAAGACTTAAAATTATTGATAACACTCAAAAAGCTTGTGAAAAAAATGTACAAGAAATTAAAAAAACTTTATGGAGCATTAAAAGACAATGAAAACAATAATAAAGAAATATGTAATACCATAGAACAAACAAATACAAAGATGTGCAATGAAATAAAAAAAGTAATAAAACAAACAAACGAAAAACAAAGCAAAATGTCATATGCAGAGACAATAAAAAAAACAGTGATACCAGATCAAAATAAACAAGTGCCTCTAATTAAACCTAAAGAAAGACAGGATGTTGAAAAAACAAAAGAAGAATTAAATAAAAAGGTTGACCCAGTGAAGTGAAACATAACAAAAATAGAAAACAGAAAAAATGGGAGAGTAATAATACAAAGCGAAAATAATGAAGAAAGAGAAAAAATAAAAAATGCAATTCAAACTAAACTAAATGAAAATTATGATATTAAGGTGCCCAGTCCAAGAAATTTAATAATAAAAATAACGGACATAAGTTTTGACTATACGGATGATTAAATAATAGAAAAAATTAAGAAACAAAATCCTATAATAAATGGTGAATTAAAATTAATACAGAAATACAAATATAAAATTAATGATAAAAGATAAAAGTAATCGTGGACAATGATACGTATTATAAACTAATATCGGAGCAGAAAATAAATATAGGTTGGGAAAGATGTAGAGTATTCGATGGAACAGATATAATACAATGCATGAAATGTAGAGGATATAATCATAAAGCCAGAGAATGTAAAATTCAAGAATATTGCTTAAAATGCCATGGTTGCCATAAAACAAAAGAATGTGACAACGAACAAATAAATAAATATATTAATTGTATTAGAGTGAATAACAGATTAAATATGGGGTTAGATGACAATCATCAAACGAATAATAAAGAGTGTCCGGTATACCAAAATTAATTTATTTTAAAAAAGAATGGAGAATAAATAAAATGATGGAAAAAAACGAAGACTCTAAATATTGGATACTCTTATGCAAAGCTGAACTCCACAATACAAATATTGTTATTGGTGCGGTATATGGATCACCTAGTTGTAGCGAGGCGGAATTTTGTATAATTTTCAACGATATACTCGATATTAACTGTGATATTATAATTAGTGGAGATTTTAATATTGACTGGTCACAGAACAATTTTTACAAAAACAAGATAGAGAACATAATAAATGATAATGGTCTGAATCAAATAGTAAATAAATATACTCGTGTAACAAATAGATCCAATACTTTGATAGACTATGTCCTAACAAATAGTGATAATGTGTCTATAGAAAACAGTGCTAATAATAATATAGCGGACCACGAAACATTAATTGTTAATATAAAAACCAAATATGACAAAGAAACACATAACGAAACCAAAGAAATATTTAATTATAAGAAAAACTTATTTTATAGTTATTTAAGTGAAATAATAGCTACAAATCTGTGTGATGACATAAATGAAACAGCATCGAATTTAGATAAATGTTTTGAGGAAACAGTGAACAAATTCACGTATAGAAAAACAATAACACAACGAAGTAACATTAATAATTGGTTTAATTCAGAACTAAAAAGATTAAAAATAGGTAAAATAAGAAAACATGAATTAGCCAAATTTCAAAATACGAATGAAGCGTGGTCAATCTATATATCGAGTAGAAACTTATACAAAACGAAAGTACAAAGTGAAAAGAAGAAATACATCAATAACAAAATAACTAATGCGAAAGATCAAAAACAAATGTCTAACCAATTAAAAAACTTAGTGCTTAGAAAAAACCAAACTGTGATAAAATCTGTGATATTTAATCAAATAGAATATAAGGAAAATAAACAAATAGCTGACGAATTTAACAAATACTTTATAAATAGTATAAGAGAGATAAGAGATTCCATTGAAATTGTGCAATATTCAAATAGTATACAACCAGTAATAACTAATTTTAAATTCCGTGCAATAAATAATATAGAACTAAAACATATAATAAGTAAAATTAATAAAAAAACAAGATTTTAACAAAATATCAAATAAAATCATTCTAGACAATTGGAGCTTAGTGGGTGACATTTTAGTCAATATAATTAATAAATCGCTGGAAAATGGAGAATTTCCAACAAATTGGAAAGAAGCCATAATAACACAACCATAACAATAGAAAAATTAAAAAACACGAAGAACTGTGAAGAATTTAGACCGATAAACTCATTAAAAGCATGTGAAAAAATTCTTGAAAAAGTAGTAAAAGAACAACTCGAAATATATCTAGAGGAAAATTCAATTTTATCTAAATATCAATCGGGATTTCGAAATAAATATTCGTGTGAAACTACAGTGGACTGCGTAGTAAACAGATGGAACAATAAAAAGAAAAATAATAAAATAATGGCAATATTTCTGGACTTTAAGAGAGCATTCGAAACAATAGACCGCAAAATATTATTAAAAATGATGTACATGTACGGAATTCAAAGTAATGAACTAAAATGGTTTAATTCGTATTTAACTAATAGAATTCAATACACTAAAATTAACAATATAAAATCTAATTCAATGACAAATGATTACGGTGTTCCACAGGGATCAATCCTGAGTGCACTGTTATTCATTATATATATAAATGATATGCCAAATGTTTTGAAAAAAAGTGAAATTATTTTATATGCGGACGATACATTAATATTTGCTGAGGACGAGAATGATAACACATGTAAATATAATTTAGAGCACGATATGAAAAATATCAATAACTGGTTGAAAATTAATAAACTAAAATTAAATGAAAATAAAACTAAAATAATGGAAATTAACATTACAAACAGTGCAATATTTACAATAAACAATAACATAATAGAAAAAGTAAATCAAAAGTAAATCAAATCAAACTAAGCTTTAAAGATCACATAGATTATATATGCAAAAAATTGCCAAAAAAAAATCGGTGATTGATTTTTGTTTTCTAACTACTTTAATTTCCTGCTATTTCCTTAACTTAATTTTGTTTGTTAGATCCAAATTCAATCTAAAAGATAAAATTAAACTCTTTTTAGGAAAAAAACTGAACTTGAGAATCGACAACTGAGTCTCATGCTGATAATTTGAAACCCCTGAAATAATTGTGCCATGTTGGGATATCTTGGTCCCCCTCGAAATAATTTATTTTGTTGTAAAATTGTATTAATTCAATATATCCGGTTTAAACTTTATTCAAGTTAAAGTTATCATTAAATTCACATCTAACGGATTTAGGTTTTTTAGATTATAGTTTATGTCATTTTGTTCGATAGGTAAGATATGCAGAATAGGAACTCCTTAACGACTCTAAACGGCTCCAATTTTTTTTATTTTTTTCCATTGATAGTACTTTTAATACGGAATCTAACGATACTAATTTTTTGGTTTGCTCGGAAATGGCTTGCTCGATTGTAAAAAAATAACATGATATGAAAGGTCGTGGAAGGGCCTTTCAGATGATGTGCAATATTATATGAATTATTATATGAATTATTATATGAATTATTGAGTGCCAAAAGCTAAAAAAGGGTTTTGAAACATGACATTTTTTGTAAAAGTGCTCATAACTCGAAAAGTGGCCGATATAAGCACATATACATTGCCCAAGTATTATATAGAAAACATAATGCGGAAGATATTCTACATTATATTATAAATCATTAAATGTCTGTAACTCCTAAACCAAATGAGAGCAAGAAAAAATGTTTACATTAAACAATTTTAAATTATGTTTGCTACACCTGGTTAAAATATTATGAAAATCTCAGCTGTTTAGAGACGGTAAGTTATGCCTCCAAAACATTGAAAACTCGTTTTTTAGAAAAAAATTCGTGTGACAATATCGTGAAGTTTTTCATGTAACATGACTTTTAATAGCCACGAGTTGATGGCATATATGTGAAAAGCGCTTATATCAAAAATGGACTATAAAGTAATCTTTTTATATGAAACTGAAAGACAGAGACATTTAAATCTAATGAATTTGACAATATAACTAATGTGACTTTAACAGTGATGACTATAAACGAAAACTACTGTGTATCAACAATGACATCAATTAATGTTTATAATACAATAGTAAAACCTCATTTCGAATACGGTTCCACAATCATATATATATGCTGTAAAACAACACAATTAGAAAGATTACAAAAATTACAAAACAAGGCTATGAGAATAATACTTAAATGTAACAGATATACATCAATACAACTAATGCTAAATATACTAAACTGGATGAATATCAAGCAAAGACTAGAGTTGAATACAATACTATTTATACAAAAAATGAAGAGCGGAAAAGCACCAGGATATCTATGCGAACAATTAAATTATGTAGGTGATATACAACCATATAGACTGAGAAATGCAAATGACTTCAGACTACGGTCAGCACATAACACAACTGCGCAGCTATCGTTATTCTATAAAGCACTTAAACTATATAACTCCATGCCAACGTATATAAAAAAATGAAGAAATGAATATGTATTTAGAAAAGAATGTGTAAATTTTGTTAAAAATAATACAAATGTACTTTTATAGAGCTAAAATTAATTTAATGATTATGTAATCAAATTGCAACTTAAAAAGTATTAATAATACTAATAAATAAAAAAAAATTATTGCCAAAATACAATAAATAATTTATCTGTTTCATAATATATTTGCTTGAATTTCAGTACAAATACAAATAACTTGTGTTATTGTTTATATAAAATAATTGTTGGAAATGTTGCAAATATTTATTAATGTTATTCGTAAATAGTATATTATTTTAATAAGAAAAATACTGAAATTTTTTTCAATAAAGAATTTACGAATGTGAGTGCTTTATGAATTTTTTGTTTGATTTCGAATTTCATTTGTTTCTGTGGTTGTGTGTCAACGAAACGTTAGCAGAATTTTGTGGCCTATGCACACGTGCATTACAATGTTTTTTGGCACTTTTTTTTAGCACATTTTAGTATTTTTTGTACATATTCTTGTATGCCAATTTTAATTGTTCTTCTGTAAAAATATGGTTAAAATTTATTATTAATTAATTATGTACAACATAATAATTAATGTTTACTGGTTATTTGTAGAAATATCGGTTCGTATTTGATGAGCTTAAGTTACATTTCCTATGGAAAATGGCTCAGAGCTAAACTAAAATCTTATATTCAATATACATTTCCAAAAATTTTTTGAATTGTAATATTCTTTACAAAGGATTTCATTTGTGTCTTCCCTTAAGACTTTTTATTAAAAATATCATTATAATTGTAAACTCAATTTCATCAACAAACTCGTTCAATAGAACGTTTCTGGAACTAGTTCTTTAATCAATGATTTAAGTTCGAGTTTGGTATCCTCAGATATAGTTCTAGAGAAGCTTTAGAGAACATATACACCTTCTTTAGAACTAGATCTTTAAAAATTTTAAAAAATTTTAAAATTTCTTACAATAAATTCGAGATATTTTTCTACTGGTTTGAAGTAGTTGTTTTTAAAATCTGGACTAGTATCCCGATGTAAATATTTGCAACAATGGAAATATTGAAAGAAATAATTTCATCGGAAATTTTTTATCACAACATTTTTCTACAGAACTGTTTCGAAAAGTAATGGCGATATTATTAGTTGCAATGTCGCAGTTCCAGTATCTGGTTGTTTACTTCCGATCTAAAAAATTCAAAAAAATTTATTGAATAAGCATTCTAATTCCGTATTAAAATCATCCCATAATAAGTGGATTTGGTACGTTTGCGTATTAAGGTAAAAACATTATTTATGAGTTAAAAAAATACCAAAAAAATAAAGCTATTTTAGAAAATTCTAGGGGAGCCATAAAAAAAACTCTTTTTGGGATAAAGTAAGAATCGAAAAACTCTAAAACTAGTTATTATAAACATTTTGTTCTGTAATAAAATCGACCCATAATAAGTGGAGTTGGTCTATTTGCGTACTAAGCTAAAAATATTATTTATGTACAGCCTTATGTATAATGAAAAATTAGCAACTGTTTATACACTACGTACAAGGAGCTGCCAACTAGAATATCGTTTAGTCTTAGCAACTTCTTGGCAAATTGTTTATGTATAATAAACTTTTAAGTCATTGCTTACTTCTAATAAATCAACTCTGAAAATTAACGATGCCACATTGTATTTCAAAAATATGCAACTATTTTTTGTCATTTAATTTTCTCTGTTACATTTATTATTTGCTGTTACATTTATTATTTTGTTATTTCCGTCCACATTAAAACAATTTGTTTAAAAAAGTTAAACCAAAGAATGGAAAAACAAATAAAAAGATCTGCAAATTGGCAACAGAATGAGAAAGTAAGTAATGAAGAGCTATTGATGGAATTTTTAGTCAATGACAATACTTTTATTAGGATTTGTTATCAAAGCTCGCTTTGGATAAATTGGAAATTATAGAGGATGCAAGAATCGACACCAATACAAACAAAAAGAAGAGAGATGCATGGAATGCGATTCACCAACTTTTTAATCAAGTGTCTTCGTACAATAGAACCATGGAGCAAATTCAAAAACCAGTGGGGTAAAACCAAGTCTATGGCAAAGACAAATAACTCTGCTTTCATCAAGCAATCTAAGCAGACAGCTCCTAAACCTTTAAGTAGCCTTGAAGAGGAGTTAGTTCACGAATTCCCAAGCATTTCGAGGCTGATAGTAATAGATGAGACGACCTCAAAAAACATTCATTTAAGCTCACTAAACGAGACTGTAAAACCGGACGATGAAATATTTTCAATTGCGGATGATACTCCAGTTGAGGTAACAAAAAGGACAGTAAAAAAGGACGATGAAATACTTTTCCATGTGGATAATAATCCAACTATGGAAACAAAGGGCAGTAAGTTTCAAAAGAAAAGGAAGCATTAAATGTCAGTGTGAATCCGATAAAGAAAATGTTAAAATAATAAAACTATTGGATTTAAGCAGAAAGAATTGGAAATAAAATTTTTGGAGGAGGAGCATACCCTAAGAATAGAAAAAATTAAGAATGAAATTGCAAATTTGAAGAAAATTAGTTTTTAATTTTAATTATTTAAATATTCAAGGAACATTTCTTTGTGCAATTATTTTTAAATGTAAATGAACGAATTGTTTTTCTTTTACTTAAATAACCATCCAATTAATACCCACTTTCCTGCCTTATTGTTCGTTTAAAACACAAAAATTTATTATTATTTAATTTTAGCTTTTTATTTGTGAATTAATTCAGTTTTTAATAAACTTTAAAAACAAAGTATTTTATTAAAAATCCAGGAAACTCCGAAAGATTTAAAAATTTTGCTGAATATAAATACTGCGAGACGTATTTTCATTTTGGATGCAGTTTTGGGATATTTCAGTTGGAGAGATATCGCTTCGGATATCGTCTTTTTCTACATATAAAAAGAAAAAAATGATCATACGTACATACATATGTACGTTCATAATTATTTTAAAATGTTAAACAATTTACCAAACTTTTCCTCATTATACATAATGGATAAGTTATGTAGGACTGCAAGAGCAACAACCTTTCCCTTTAAGGTCAGCCTCCACTAGTTTTATTAATTTTTTAAAATTTTCTTTGGTGAATCTATATTTAAGACGAAAATCTTCTTCGTTATACTCTAAAAATGGGTTTCTCCTTTTTTGATAAACTTTTTTTGACCGATAACGGACACTTAAATAATCCAATTCATCTAAAAGGTCTAAAGTTTCCATTTTTTTAATTTACGCACAACAATTTTTATTTTTTTTAATTTATTTAAATAAATTTTGACACAGAACAGTTGTTTTTCAAAAGTTGGCTACTGACTAACAAGAGTTTAACAGTTTGCTATCCAATGTTTGTAAGTGTATTATAATTCAACTATATGCACTTAATGCCAATTTTTATTATACATAAGGCTGGTAGTTTATTTTAAAAATTTAAATATTTTACAATAAAAACCTTATTTTTGTTATCACTTTTTCTAGCATTTTTTCTTCTAATACACAGTCGAAGCCAAGCCATAATGGATAAGTTATGTAGGACTGCAAGAGCAACAACCTTTCCCTTTAAGGTCAGCCTACACTAGTTTTATTAATTTTTTAAAATTTTCTTTGGTGAATCTATATTTAAGACGAAAATCTTCTTCGTTATACTCTAAAAATGGGTTTCTCCTTTTTTGATAAACTTTTTTTGACCGATAACGGACACTTAAATAATCCAATTCATCTAAAAGGTCTAAAGTTTCCATTTTTTTAATTTACGCACAACAATTTTTATTTTTTTTAATTTATTTAAATAAATTTTGACACAGAACAGTTGTTTTTCAAAAGTTGGCTACTGACTAACAAGAGTTTAACAGTTTGCTATCCAATGTTTGTAAGTGTATTATAATTCAACTATATGCACTTAATGCCAATTTTTATTATACATAAGGCTGGTAGTTTATTTTAAAAATTTAAATATTTTACAATAAAAACCTTATTTTTGTTATCACTTTTTCTAGCATTTTTTCTTTATTTTTAGCATTTTCTAGCATTTTTCTTTTTCAAAACAATCCAGCACTTTTTCGCAATTAGGTTTTGGCAACACTGATTACAATTTCCATTTTGCTTATAGCTGCTTTAAATATATACATATTTTACGAATAAATAATATGTACTCGGGGGAGTTTTCCAGTTTTTTCTACCGAGCGCGTCCCCGGGTGGTGGATAGGGGGTGGTGATGGACCATCTGTCCTCTCCCAGCTTTAATTTTACTTAAGATGAGGGAAAAAAACAAATATGGAAAATATGGAAATAAAAATAACCCAGTACCGGCGGCAAGTGTTGATCTACTCGCGAGTCACGTGTCGTCGTCATCCTGCAATCGTGAGCAAAATACTACTACGGAGGTGGGTACCTTGGCCTCCGTGGCGGACAATGCGTCAAGTGTACAGCATGCCACTGGCAAAAATATAGGGGTGAAAGAGAAGGATGTACTCGGAGAGAGCTCTAAGCTACCGCAGCCTTTAAATATAGGTGAGGGTTCCGACTCTGAATCTTCAGATGATAATAATAATACCATTATAGCAAATGGACACTAAAAACCTAAGACAACGAAAAGGACACTAAAAACCTAAGACAACAGCATCAGTATCCACTACAGATAACGTTGAGGAGTCAAATCCTAAAATCGAGGAATTTACCATTAACTCGCCAGAAGAAAGTGTAGTTGCCCTTTCCAAAATTGGGAAGGCGCCGATTGAAAGGGCTGTCAAAACCGGCCCCGACAAGGACACTAAAATACCTAAGACAGTACCCAAAGCATCATTAGCAAGTACTGGCAATGTTGAGGAGTCAAATCCTAAAAGCGAGGAGGAAATCACTCACATGCCAGAAGACAGAACAGCAGTGCTCTCCAGAATTGGGAATGTGTCTGTTAAAAATATTGCTATTCCTGTGCCTGATAAGGACACCGCAGAGCCATCAACAGTACCCACTGCATTAATAGCCACTTCAGGCTATCCGGAGGAGTCAAATCCAAATAGCGAGGAGGTAACCACCAACTCGCTGGAAGACAGTTTAATGGATGACCATGATTGAGGTTATCCAAATAAACCTCCATCGGAGCGAGACAGCTACCAACGCTCTGATGGCTAAAATTAACACAGGTAAAATACATATAGCTTTAATCCGGGAACCTTGGACGATTCGCAACAAGGTTTCTGGATTAAATCACGTAAATTTCCAACTTTTCTACGCTGATACAGGATCTCGCCCGAGAACATGTATCTTATGTCACAAGAACTTATGTTTTCTCCTCTCAACAGGATTATCAACATCGGATGCAACGGTGCTGAAGCAAGGTCGTGGCAAAATATTCCATGCATCTGTTTACCTGCCTTTCGATTCTCCGAAACTACCACCAACGTCGGATCTGATGAAACTGGTTGAAGAGGCACAAAGAAAAAATAAGAAAATTGTAATAGGTTGTGATGCCAACTCGCACCATGTAGCTTGGGGTAGTACAAACACCAATCGCAGGTGACAAGCCCTCATGGATTTCCTTAATACTACCTTCGTCAATAGAATCAGAGAAGAAGTATTAGATATAACTATATGTTCAGAAGAGCTTATAAACGAAATTCAGGATTTTAGAGTTTCGGACGAGCACTCCTTTTCTGATCATCGGTACATAAGATTCAAAATACTAAGACCACCACCAAAGCCGATAAAGTTTCGGAATAAGTCTAAAACTAATTGGACAATGTTCGGGACCTTACTAAAGAACCGTTTAGGTCAGGACACTTATCAATGTCGAAATAAAGAGGATATAGATGCCAAAGTGGAAACGTTCACAAGTGTCCTGGTTGAATCGTTTGAGGACAGCTGCCCTCTGCGAGAGCGGAGATCTGCCCCGGAAAAACCCTGGGTAACTTGGGAGATCCAGAACCTTGGGAAGACTCTTCGCAAACTATTTAACCGGGCACGGCGTAAAAAGACCGCAGTATACTGGGATGAGTATCGTAAAAAACTTGGTGAATATAAGAAAATCGTTCGAAAAGCCAAACGAGACTCCTGAAAACTTTTCTGTGAGCAGGTAGATAGCGTAAATGACGTATCGAAGATAAAAAAATTCCTATCCAAAACTCATGCCCAACCGGAATCTATGTTCGATGACACGGGCAGGAGGCTTGAGGATATGGAGGAGACAATGAAACTCCTAATGGACTCTCATTTCCCACCCGGTATATCGAATAACATAGTTGAACCGATATTGGAGGAAGGGGAGGGTAACACGGAAATAGTTATTACAACTGACATGGTTAAAGGGGCAATCAAGAGTTTTGCTCCCTATAAAGCTGCAGGGCCTGATGGAATTTTCCCCGGCACTTTTGCAGATGGAGACGGGACTGGTTTCCGTACATCTGCCACAGATATTCACTGCATGCTTAAAATTGGCATATACCCCAGTTAAATGGCAAGATGCAACGGTAATATTTATACCCAAACCAGGGAAACTAAGCTATGCGACACCTAAGTCCTATCGACCGATAAGTCTTACGTCCTTCCTACTTAAAACCTTGGAACGGATAGTCGATAGTATGATTAAAAGCAGTATACCCGACAAAGACCTTAAATTTAAGCAGCATGCTTATGTAAAGGGACGATCGGTGGAAACCGCTTTAAACGAAGTTGTCCACTACATAGGTGAATCTTTCGATAGCAAACTGTATACACTGGCGGTATGCATTGACATCGAAGGCGCTTTCAATAACGTGCACACTGATACCCTTATCCAATCCCTAGACCAGTTTTATGTTGACCGGGTGCTCCGTAACTGGATCAACTACATGCTAAGGAACAGATGGATAAGCTGCGAGATGTACGATATAACTATCAGGAAAAAGGTATTTCGCGGTATACCACAGGATGGCATTTTGTCACCTTTACTCTGGGTTACCACGATTAATAGCCTCCTAAGGACCCTAACCGAGAAAGGACTTAGACCTGTCTGCTATGCAGACGATGTCGTAATACTTTTAAAGGGAAAGGATCCAAATTACTTGTGCAGAAGAGCTGAGGAGGCTCTGAACACGGCCTTGAGCTGGGCTCAACCGAGAGGCCTCAATGTTAACCCGGCGAAGATGGAAATCTGTCTTTTCACAAGAAAGACAAAAATGTCTACATATACTGAACCTTGCTTCCTGGGCAAGAAGATACCGGTGACAGACAAAGTTAAGTACTTAGGTGTAATACTTGACCGGAAATTAAAATGGAGACACCACATAGAGGATAGGATCAACAAGGCACATCGGTGCTGGGCGATATGTAGGAGAACCATAGGCATGAAATGGGGTCTTAGCCCTACTATGACAAATTGGCTTTATAAAAGTATAATAAGACCAATTCTAGCTTATGCTTCAATAATCTGCTGGACTGCTTTGGACAAAAAGTGTAATATCAAACTACTACAGGGAGTTCAGCGTACATGCTGCTTGGGTATAAGTGGTGCCATGTGTACTACTTCAACCAAGGCTCTGGAAACGTTGCTAGATATTCCACCCATTGAAACATATATAAGATATGAGGCGGCGCTTACAGCCGAACGGCTCTTTACTTTAGGCGAACTGGCCAAAAACGGTTATAGGACACGTCATCAATGTATACTGGACACATTGGAAGGTTATACACATTCATCGGACGTGCCTGATCGTATACCAGACACAGAATATGTCGGAAACTTTGAAACGCTAATCCCAGATAGAATGTCTTGGTCAAACGGAACATTAGAGCAAATACCAGTAGGAATCTGTTGCTACACGGATGGCTCTAAATTAGGGGACAAAGTGGGCCTGGGGTTCTATATTGAAGACCCAGAAACAGAAATATACCACCGTTTACCTAATCATAACACAAGCTTCCAGGCAGAAGTACGAGCAATAACGGAATGTGTAAATTGGATTAGAATAAATATGGCGCCCACAGGGCTTAATATATTTACCGACAGCCAGAAGGCAATTAGGGCGATATCAGGTGATAGAATTAAATCTAAGACCGTATTGGATTGTAAGAAAGCTTTAACTGAATACTCTACCAGAGGTAAGGTTCACATCATATGGGTACCAGGCCACTCGGGAGTAGTCGGCAACGAAAGGGCGAATGTAATAGCTTTCAAGGGAAGGGAGCTCGATGTATTTAACCTGACAAACGCAAAACCACACAGGATTACGTGCACATCTATACAAAATTGGACGTGCGGATTCAGACGAATTACGTCCAGGAATTACGTCCAGGAAACTGAGTTTCTGAACATGGAAAAAAATACATTCAGTGAACAATTTTTTTTTCATGAATTGGAGCGCACAACAGGCCCGATATTGGCCTAGGTGTATTTCTTCGGATTTGATGTAGTATACATCAACCTAACCTAACCTAATAATATGTATATGGATATATTTTGCGAAATAAAAATATAAATATTTAATTGTTTACCACATTTTATTTTATCGCATGGGAAATGAAACATTATATTTGTTAATGCTCAAATTATAAAATTTTATTTAAAATTTTTATTAGGGATCAAAATCAAATGTTAGTAAAATCTGGTATATAGTGTTGTTGAGTTAAAAAATATAAAATATATGTATGTATATAAAAAAGTAATATTTTCTTTTAAAATAATTATGAATAATAATAAATAGTATTAATATTATTATTATTTTTAGGAATTTTTTTTTTTAAGTTTAATAAGATTTTACGTTCAGATTACCAATAAATAACAGGAATAAAGCCGCACCTTAAAAAACATCAAGATGTATATTATGGTTTCGTTAAAAAATTAAACAGAATTTTTAATATAAAATGAACACATTCATAATTGATATTACCAGAGGTTAAAACTTTATTTGCAAGGCAATTGATAGAATATCTTTCAGAAGCTATAAGAAAATTTATAAAAGAAGATGAATTCACGCTATTATAACGTCTCAATTGCAGTGAAAAAGTTTTCTTTTTCCTAACTTCTGGTTCAGAAATCTTGAAAAGTATACTCTGTTGACTTGGTGAAATCAAAGCTGCTTTGTTCTTGTAGACCATTTAGACCGAACGAAATTAAGTAATTCATTTTTAAATTCTGAAATTAAGTAATTTTGCTTAATTTAATTGAAATTAAGTTAAAAAGTTATACATCATATATGTATATACATTAGAGTGACCGCAAAAAGTCGATATTGGAATCTTGTTCGTCTTAACTCAACAAAATGATTCCCCTTTCCGATTTTAAATATCGGACCATATACTATAAATTCCTTTAATTTTAGTTAATATGGCCAAGAAATAAATAATATTTCGATATGTTTCAATGAGAATTTCCAAATATTACAAAATTTGACCTCCAAAGTTTACGACTTAGGATTTCCCGATTTATATATAACTTTAGGGATATATTTTATATTATTTAAAACGTAATATTTTGTTTAAAATGTATAATAGTAAAGAATTAGGACATATTTTTAAAATTTTACAAAAAAAAAATAATTTTTCGCGAAATTTGCAGAATTCAAATCGCAGGTACAGCTAAGCTATAGGAGGTATTGACCTAATTTTTTTCACTGTTTTATTCCTTAATCTATTGACCATAAATCCCCCGGTGATATATCAAAAATTTTAAAATTTGTTTAACAAAGATTTAAAAAAACTGAACATGAAGTTTTGAAACTGCCGTGTAAAAAATTATTTCTTTTGGTCATAACTGAGAACAGGTTCTCGATATCTTTTAAGGACAAAAACTTATATTCGAGTAAATATAGATATATTTTATGTAATAAAATAGTTTTATTAGAATATTTTCCAAAATAGGTTAAATTTTTTTCCACATTTCCTAATCAAGTGCTCAGAGACACGTTAATGGCCTGGGAAATTTTTAATAACTTTTATATTTTTCAACCAATTTTTGTGTTTTACATCGTTTTTAAATATTAAGGGCCATTATCTCAACCTCTTATTATCGTTTAACTGGTAGATATACTGCCGATTAAAATATTTTTTGTATGAAAACTGTAAATTTATCGTTAGGATAAATACTAATCAGACATTGAGAAAATGGGGGTAAATCTATGTACATTGTGATAAATATGTAAAATATTTACCTAATAGCAACATTTATCACATAATATCAAAATATACGAAGTATTCTACTGCCGCGACCAGGTTACGTTTATGTTGTAACTCCGTTTGACATAAAGTAACAAGAATTATATATAATATACGTTTTGAAGTACAATATTAGCTTTGTTTTGAGGTACTAAGCGTGTTTCTATTATTTACCGTTCTGGACTTATAGCTTCATATGTTAGCTTTTTGGCCAAAAATTTGGATTTTTTCAAACTTTGAGCGACGAGCGGCACATGTTAACGTCTTTTAATCGAGCTCAAATTTCGGCTATCTGAATATCATTAAGACGAACAATATTCCGACATTTTATTCTTCCCATATAAGATCCGGTCAGTCTAATGTTCATATAACCCATTAATATGAGTATTCAAAATTTAAAAAGTGAAATTAACAAAACCACAGATAAGATTTCGTTTTTAATTTTGAAACGAAATTTAATAATTTTGGCTCGGTCAGAATGAGCTACATATAATATACCATTATTAATAAGTACAAAACTAAAGATTAAAGTTAACCTCATAATAAAAATTAATTTGAGAAAGAAATTTCAATAAAACATATATTGTTAATCCCTGAAAAGCTACCACTTAGTCTTAGTATTGTTAGCTTTTATGTTATTAATTATATAAACATTTGGCATCATTCAAATGTTTTAGTATTTATTCATTCTGTTGGTATTTATAGAAAGATCCATTTTCATAAATTTATGTAAACGGGTGCCATTGAAAGGTTCTTCGCTGCCGGGGGGATATTTTCGCATCTAAAATTAAAGAAAGAAAATTGAAAAAAGTTAAATTTGTTTACTTACACATTCATACATAAAAATCATTAAAAAATTAAGTTGCGAATTTTGCTCATCGCTTCTCTAGAATTTATTGGTCCTAGCTAAAATTATCCAAAAGACTTTAGATAGTTATTTCTTCAATCTTTCCCAAATATATTAAAATATTTTTTAAACAATTTTTTTTTTCAAAATCGGCCCTTTTTGCTCAAATGAAAGCAATATAAACTTTTTTAATTTAGAAATAATTTTAACAACGTTTTTAATTAAATTAACTTTCAACACAGGTCATTGTAAATTTTGAAATATATAGTTTTCTTTTTGACATGTCTATTAAAACAGATTTTTAAAAGCTCATCCAGAACTGGAAGTTTGGATTTTTGTTATTTTTATTGGGTTTTGTTTGGATTTTATCAAAATCTAGTTGAAAGTAGTGTTTAATTTGTATTGAAAAATCAAAGAAATTTTAATAGTTTTTCAAACAAAAACCAAAAACTATTAGTTTTTCATATATCTTTAGGTGCTGAAACCGAATCTGATATCGGGGTTTCTTTATTAAAAATACAATTTTCGCGGAATAGGGTATTGAATATTTAGTTCATATATTACGAAAATTATATATAATTATAAAATTAACCTTTAACGGTTAATTTCGATTTTTTCGATCTTATTATAAATATTGGTCTTTATTATATATTATATGTATACTTCAGGAAATTAACGTACTACTCGTCTCTGAAACACACTTTACCCTAAAGAATTGTTACAGAATTGACGGATACTACACTTACGATACAATTTGAGTGAGAAAAAATATTAGACATTTTCCAATGCCAGAATACAAAAAGGACCATATCCAGGCCACCTCTATAAATATACCTGTTAGCAGAGTTACAATATCTTCAATATATTGTCCTCCTAGGTATAATGTTAATCGAGAACAGTTTCTCGATAACTTTAATACCCTTATTCTATAACTTTTTTGTGTGTAATTTTGTGTAAAATGTTATTTTTTTAACATAAAAGTGCTCTGTTAGAAACGAAATGAAATGTCAATTTCAACAATAGGTGTTTTTGTTGTGATAGTTTCTTTAAATTGCAGAAAACAGCGATTTTTGCAAATTAGAACATTAAGGGGTAAAAAGGCAAAAAACGGGTTAAACGGGTTTTCTAGTTCACGCATTAGATATACAAGAAAAGTAGATGCAGATGAACTGCATCGACTTCTAAAAAAAAAAGTAGATGGGTGACTTTGGTACCTTTTATGGCCGTTAATAACTAATAAACGGCTGGACCGATTTTCATGATATTTTCACAATGTCTTCCTGTATGTCTAAAAGGAATTATTTTTATTTCGAAATTTCATGAAGGCAGAATGCTACGCCCACATTCGAAATAAATAGTAAAGGTCGCGCATCTCAGAAATTTCAACAGCATAATTCATCAAATTTTGTATGGACAATTATAGCATCCATATAAACATGGAAGAACAGAATTTTGAGGGCTCAACCATTGCACGAATATCTTTAACATCCATGTAAACATTTGGGGTAATAATATTCGCGAAAATAAACGATATCAAAAGAAAATAATAACGTTTTTTTCCGAATAGGTAAAAAAATAACAAAATAATTGTAATAATTTTGACAAACAATTTTTGTTACCGTATGAAATAAAATTGAAAATATATTACCACATCAAACTTTTTTTTCAAATTTCGAACAAATTATTTTTAAAATTGTTCTAAACTTTAAGAAATTGTGCATCTGGTAAATTTGAATTGATTATCAAATTCACAAACCAATTATAAAACTGTTATTATTATAGAATACAAAATATCCATGTTAAGGTTTTTGTTTCTGTACATTTACAGAAACGAACGAAAAATTATAGAATAAGGTTATAAAACTCTTGGCCCAAGATTCGTAGCAGCTGGTGATTATAATGCAAAACATACATTTTAGGGCTCTCGCCTCATTACTCCCAAAGACAGACAATTGCTAGAAGCAATATCGCATAACAGACTAGATGCATTATCTAGTGGTCAACTTACCTATTGGCCTACAGACCTCAATAAGATTCCCGATATAATTGACTTTGCTGTAATCAGAAAAACTTGAAGCATTCGCCAATCACTTGGAGAATGTGTTTACTGAAAATGATACAAATTCTTCTATTAATGCTAACATTATAAATAATGTGGTTCCACGCCCAATAAAATTCCGGTTATCTACCGTGAAGACGACAATCAAGTCGTTACGATGATAAGTAACCTGCCCAATTGAGCACTGAGAATTATTTTGTTCATCTTTAACTCGATGCTACTTCAAAGGAAAAGATGTCACTCACAGTATATTTTATAAACTGCAGATATGCCAACGAGCGCACTGACTCAATATAGATGTATATTTGCGGATGATACCGCTTTTGTAAGCATACATGATAACCCTTCAATAGCTTCTGAACAACTCCAGTTTCACATCGGCGAATTGTCGAGAAAGTTGTCCTCCTGTACAGATAAACAATATAAAAATTCCTGAACAAAGCAATGTGAGATATCTTGGTATCCACCTTGACTCACCACATTGAAGCCAAGGTTACACAAATAAAATTAAAGTCAGCTCAAATGTACTGGCTAATTGAACCACGGTCAGCTCTAGACTTGGAGTACAAAGTGCTTTTGTACAAAACAGTTATAAAACCGATATGGCTATACGGCATTCAACTGTGGGGAACAGCCTCCTCATCTAATGTTGAAAAATTACAAAGAAAGCAGTCAGCACTGTTAAGGTCAATAACAGGTGCCCGGTGGTTCATTCACAATAGTAATATTCATAGGGATCTCATTGTCCCCATAATACGCGAGGAGATCAAATTATCTTGTTTAACCTACTTGTCGAAACTAATGAATCACCAAATCCTCTTGCTGGTCATTTGATGGTCATAGACAACTGAGAAGAACGGAAACATTGGATTTTGCCAGATAATCAAATTATTGAGAACTTTGGTTGAAATTGCAGCGGCAATAACAACGTTAGTTGTAGTTTAGGTTAAGATTTTAATACTTATTGTAAATTTCTATATAAGTAAGATTCAATAAAGAATAAATAAAATGTAAAAAATATATATATATTTTTCTCAAGTTTCATTTAAATCGATTGAAAACTAAATATTATATCACAACGGTTTCAAAAAAGTTTCCCAATATTACATAGTTTGACTTTGGCCTTCACTGTTTATGGATTAACATTATTCGATTTTACTAAAACTTCAGATATACATACATATGTTTTCTATTTTATATTCTGGAAAGATTTTATATAAAATGCATAACAGTAAATAATATAAACATGTATTCCAAAAATTTTGCCAAAAAATATTTTTTTTCGAAATCCACAAAATTCAAATCATAGGTTTGTTTAAATACATTTCTAGTAAAAGTAGTAAAACAAGAGAAAAATAAAAAATATTCTCAGATATAAAAAGCAAACGAACGAAATTCAAGTAAATTTCGTTTTATTATATTGAAAAATTTAAAACAAATTATATGAATTTTTTCCAAACAAATCAATACAGAACTCGATAAAAATATTCAAGTCAAAAATAGTAACCCCTTTCTCTATATTGGACAAATATTTATTATGCTAAACGTCAAATTGTTATCATGGTAAAAAATTAGCAGGTACAGACGGCATTTATCAGTTATAACGTCGTTATGACAGTGTTGTCTTAACAATTGTTTAGACAACGTTGTCTTGATAACAAACGTCATTTTATTGTAAAATTTGTTTAGAATTTTGTTTTTGCGCAATTAAAATTAATTTTTAACATAAGTTTTACGGAATTTAGTGTTTATTTACAAAATTTGCATTTAATTAATTTTTTGTGTACAAAAACAAAAAACTTAAAAAAATAGTAAAATGGTAAACTAGTAAAAAATTGTTTGTAAACGAACAGACTTCATAGGTGTGAGATATTTATCATGTTTTTATTATTTTTATACCCTCCACCACCATCAGTGGTGATAGAGGGTATATATAAGATTGTCATTCCGTGTGTAACAATAAGAAGTATTCATCTGAGACCCAAAAAAGTATATATCATAGAGAAACGCATAGAGGAGAAACATATCCTTTTTTTGAAAACATAAAGTAGGCCCAAAGTAAATTAATAAAGTAGCATCACTTGAACAGCTATTTTTTTTAAACTAGATAAATGAAGCAAGTTGTCAAAGTTTGTTTTGAAAATTGTTAATATTGTTTACGTCGCCATTTTTAAATTGCGTTTTGCTAATTGCGAAAATTTGTGAAAAGTTGAAAAAGTGAATTAAAAGTGGTTTTAAAGTATTTTAAAAGTGTTATAAATTGTATAATTAATAATCCTTAATATTTTCAACATAAAAGTAATATTTTTTATTTATGTTTTGTTCACATTGTTGTTAAAGGAAATTTCATTTTGACACAATTTTAAATTATTCCAAAAACAAAATCCATGTGGTTGTTGTAGATATTGTTGTACAACAAGAGATGTCGCTACTTTATTAATTTACTTTGGTAGGCCCTTCACACATATGGATATTGTGAATTCACCATACTACCTGTTAAAGTTCCCCACAGTCATTTGTAAAAAAAGATTGTAAATAATAAAATATTTTTAATTTTCAATAAAAATATATTAAAATTAAAATATGTATTTTCCCTTACTCCTCATGATTGCCATTTTTGTCTTGTCTCAGTTATTGGAAAGGTCGCTTCGAGATGCCCTGTGGCATAGATAATACACATAGATTGCCAACTCAAGCTTTACCACGAAAAAAAGAGCTTTCTCTCTTCACACTTACATGTTCTGTGTGAATTCAACACAAAGCTACAACAACAAATATTCAATATTTCAGGTCCGAAATTCGCACAAAAAAACGATTCGGACACAATTTTTATAACACAAACACACATTATTTATTTTTTTACAATTGTTTTAAT